TTATAATTTTCAACAATACGTCGGATTTAAAAATGACCAAGGTGGCAATGTTATAGATAATTTTGAAACTAAATAAGATTGTTATTGGTCATTTTTTTAAATTAATTTCATGATTGTCCAGATCCCATATTTTTTATACAAAAAAAACAATTTATTATATTATAATTTGTTTTTGTTTATAATATCACAACAGATGTATTGTTGATTATCTGAAAGACAAGGCACGCATACTAGTCACACATCAGATCCAGTATCTGAGAAAAGCCCATAAGATACTGGTGCTCGACGAAGGCCGGTGTGTAGCACTGGGCAGCTATGACGAGCTCAGGGAGTCGGGCATCGATCTGATGTCCTATCAACAGACCACTACTCCCGACAATCACACAAATCTGGTCAGCACTGGACCACCACTACCGATGAACGGTTCAATGATATTCACACCATCGCTGGTGAGCAGTACTATCAGCGACGGCGGTTCGGATATCAGATCACATGATGTCGTTGACGATGACATTGTTTCTATCATTGAGTCGACGGCCATTAGTTTAGATGACCCGCAGATCAAAGCCGAAAACAAAATAGTCGGTAGTCTTGATTCGACCATCTATTGGGACTATATTAAGGCCGGTGCCGGACCAATGTTGATGTCGACAACAGTTTTGATGGTATTGTTGTCGCAAATACTATATCAGGGAAGCGACTATTGGCTGTCTTACTGGTAGACAATAATAATAATTTTTTTTAAATAGATAATAATATTTTTTATTTTGTGTACACAATTACAGGACAAATAACAATCAAAACACTGATGACAATGAAAATCAATATATTTATGTATATACCGGTCTGATTGTATGCCTGTATGTGACATCACTGTTGGCCACCGTAACGTTTTATATGATGTGTATGCGGGCATCGATAATACTATATAAGCGTATATTTTCCACACTATTGAGAGCACCGATACATGTATTTGAAAGTTCACCGGCAGGTAAAACACTTATAATTTACACACTCACACACGCAATATATCTAACTTATAAATTATATACCTTTCCATTTACATTATAAAACAATTAGGACGTATATTGAACCGGTTCGCCAAAGATACCGGTATTATTGATGAACAGTTACCGTCGACAGCATTTGATCTAATAATAGTAATATTTCCAAAAAAAAAAAAATAAATCAATTTTTTTTAAACAAATTTTAATAATAACTCATTTAATACTAACTAAACCAGAACTTGGGTCTAATGATCGGCAATCTAGTGCTCAATGCAACCGTCAACTGGCTTCTAGTGTTTCCGGCAATCATATTACTGATTTTGGTATACATGTGCCGGTATTTCTATATTAGGGCCGCCCGTGATATCAAACGCATGGAAGGCTTATGTATAATAATATTTTAATAACTTATGATATAAATTATAATATAATCATGAATTTATTATATATATATGGCTGGACGAAAAAATAGCCCGGAGTCCAATCTACTCGCACGTTAGCAACACATTGGCCGGTCTGTCGACAATCCGATCGCTGGACGGCCAACGCATGTTTGAACGTCAGTTCGAGTGCCATCAAAACGACAACACCGCCACATATTTTATGTTTCTCTGTACGTCCCGAGCACTGGGCGTACTTATGGACAGTGTTTGCCTCATCTATATCGCAGCCATTGTAGCATTTGTAATGTCAGTGTCCGATGGAGACACAATGTCCGGCGGTAGCGCCGGTCTATTGTTATCGTCGGCACTGATGTTGACCGGAACAGCACAGCATGGGGTCCGGTGTTCGACAGATCTCGAGTCCTATATGACTGCTGTCGAACGGGTGCTCGAGTATACCCATATCGATCCGGAAGCCGATCTGGAATCGCCTGCCGATAGAAAACCTGGAGCCGGTTGGCCACAATCTGGTGGGATTGAGTTTGTCGATATGAGTCTACAGTATGCCGAATCTCCCGAACCGGTACTCAAACGATTGACCTTATCGTTGAGAGGCGGCGAAAAGATTGGTGTGGTTGGTCGTACCGGTGCCGGCAAGTCATCAATAATTGCTGCACTGTTTCGCTTGACCGAACCCAACGGCCAAATATTTATCGACGGTATCGATGTCGGCTGTATTGGTCTGCATGACTTGAGACGTCAGATATCAATTATACCTCAAGAGCCGGTACTGTTTACCGGTTCGGTTCGGAAAAACTTGGATCCGTTTGACGAACATCCGAACGACGAGCTGTGGGCCGCCTTAGATGAAGTACAGCTCCGGGATGTGATCAGCCAATTGCCCGGTACGCTTGATGGCCAGGTCACAGAAGGTGGCTCAAATTTCAGTGTTGGCCAACGTCAACTGGTATGTCTGGCCAGAGCAATACTTCGGGACAATAAGATACTGGTGTTGGACGAGGCGACTGCCAATGTTGACCATCAAACTGATGCATTAATTCAGCGGACAATACGCCATCGGTTTCGCAACTGTACTGTCCTGACGATTGCCCATCGATTGAACACAATTATCGATTCGGATAAAGTGCTGGTCAGTTACCATTCAACAGGACCGGGCGTTTTGTAGATAAGATCTTTATTTATTTTTTGTTTTGTTTGAAACCCCGGTAGGTTTTAGACGCCGGCCAAGTGGTTGAATACGGAGCGCCTCACAAACTGCTGGAAGAATCGCCCGACGGTCTGTTTGCTCAGTTGGTCAGCCAAACGGGCAAACATATGGCCAGTCGTTTGCGACAAACGGCTAAACATTACTATTCGCACAAATTTGACGTACAGTTTGATGAAAGAGAATCGGAAAATAATATAAGTATTTAAAACATTAAGTGTAGTTATAAACAAAAACTTATAATTAATAATTGATTTATTATTTTGCTATATATTTATTATGTTTTTTTAATAAATAACTGTACAGTTAATGATAGAAATAATATTTTTTTTAAATATCATAATTAAAGTAATTTAATTTTTTTAAAAATCACAATAATTACATTAATACAACTAAAATAATTAATATTATTATTGGATTAAGTTTAGTAGCAATTAATACAATAATAATGATTTAAAATATTATTTTAATTTAATTAAGTAATTTTTGTTAAATTTAAATAAAATAATATTAAAAAATTATTTTTTTTTAAAAAGTTAAGCACTTAAATGGATAAGACGTTTGTGTTTAAATAAAGCATCTGATGTAGCAAAATGTTTATTGCAATCGTTATAATCGCATTTGAATTTGGGTTCAATTGAATGATCTATTAATATATGTTGTCGTAAACAATGATTTGTTGTAAAACTTTTCAAACACTCATTGACTGAACAGACAAATCGTTTTCCACACAAATGAATGGATTTATGTCTAATTAAATTAGATTTTTCACTAAATGTTTTATCGCAATACTCGTCATCACATTTGAATGGTCTATAATTTAGATGCACTGCCTGTTTATGTGTTTTATAAATACTATAAGTTGCAAATGATTTGTGACAATTATGGTAATCACAAATAAATGGTCGTATCTTATAATGCACACATGATTTATGTCTATTTAGTTTACTATTATTAGTAAATATTTTGCCGCAATCATTAACATCACATTTGTATTGATTATTGAAATGTTTTACATTTTTGTGATTAACTAATAGAAATTTAGTTTGAAATACTTTAAAACAATCATTGACATCGCATTTGTATGTTTTAGTCAAATGTTTAGCATTTTTATGCAAAATTAAACCACTATTAGTTAGAAATATTTTGTTACAATTTATGAAATTACATTTGATTTGTGGAAAACATGAGTGAGACAATTGGTGTTTAAGTAAATTTTGTTTAATATTAGTCTTAAACCGACATTTAGGCCAAAAACACTTGAATGGCTTGTTATCCACACGTGTGTTGTTGTTGTTGTTGTTGTTGTTGTCATAACAGTCACTATAATCAACTATTTTTGCTGAAATGCAAGCATTTGTTGAGTAGTTAATCACTGAAATAATTTTATCATCATTTTTATAGCCAATGCTTTCACTTAAATCATATAATTGTTCACTAATTAGTTGCAAACTATTTGCCATTGATTTCAATTGAATTAATTGAATTAAATTCATATTCAAAATGTGTTGTTTTAATACAATGTTTTACAAAAATAATTGTTTGAAATGGCGATCACTTTTATTTATCACATATCACATACTTTTATGATAAAAGTGATATACAGTACAGCATATATAGTACATATATATTTATAGTACCAGTACTTTCTATATTAATCCCAAAACTTGTTTAGTATATTATAAAAGTAGTAAATATTTTTAAATACCTGTATACTATACAAATTAAATATTGTATATAAAAATTAAGCTACCTTAGTAAATTATTTTAAACAGTTAATTAATTTTTTTATAAGTTATTTTTATAATAATATTAAATTTTATCTATAACTCTATATTAACTCAAAAAATTAATAATACTAGAAACAACTAAACTTGTCAATTAATTAATATTGATAACATTTTGATAATATTTTAATAACTTTCTCTCTATATTTATTTTAGTAATAATCATTATAATTTAAAAAAAAAAAAATATTTATACTGTATAATACGGTATACAATGTAAACTACAATAACTATTGTATAAATACAATACTAATTTTATATTACTATAATAAATACTAATTACACATACAATTACTAATATCATACTAAAATAGACAATAAAAATTTTAATTTAGATTTATCTATCTATTACTAATTAAATCTATTTGTTTTATTATTATAACAATAAAAACTAATATTAATAAAACATAAAATTACATAAAGTTTACTTATCAAATTTTATTACCTTAAATATAACCTCCATTGTAAATGAGAAAAAAATAAATAATATTTTTGCAATTTTCAATGCTCAACAATATATTAATATATGACTTATTTTTATCAAAATTATTAATATCAACAAATATACTATGAAATAATTAATTGTATTTTTATATATATTGTTTTACAACAACAACAACAAAATTGATGGACATTAAGGAACTAATAACCATACCTTCCCCATGGGATCGCATTAATTTGGTATCAAAATATACATTTAGGTATAAATTATTTATTACTAGTTTTTTTTTAAAAAATTGGTAATAATAATAATAAATTGTTTGTAACTCATATTATTATTAGTTTTGTATGGCGTCTATTTATCCAGGCCTACAAAAAGGACCTGGAGTTTGGCGACCTATACCGGTGCTCAAAATCAGATGAAACGGCGTGCGTGCGAAACAAATTGGAAAAGTATTTTACAATTTATTTTAGTCTACTTTTGTATTGTTTATAGATATTTATTATATAAATTTTACAATAATTTTAATAATTTTTTTAAAAATAAATTACTTAAATTAACCCAGAAACTGGAACAATGAGCTAATAGCTAATAAAACTAATAAAAAGAAGCCATCCCTGACTATGGCACTGTTCAAAACGTTTGCACCCGAATTTCTACCTTGGTTATTGTTGAGCACATTTCAAGTACAGTAAACATTAAAAATTAAAATTATTAAAAAAAAAATTTTACAAGTTTATATTGTATTTATGAACTTTAAATTAATTTACTTTTGAATTGTTTTTTTATTAAGGAGGTTATCATCAAAGTCAGTTTGCCGCTAATGTTGGGCTATGTTGTACGCTATTTTCAGGGCGACCCACAAATCGGCCGCCAGTGGGCCGTATGGTCAGCGGTAGGCATTGTGTTGGCCTCTATTGTCGACCGTTTATTTATCAATCATATTGCGTTTTGCAATACTCTGCGCATTGGTATGCGTATGAGAGTGGCCACATCGGCACTAATCTATCGTAAGGTACGGGTAGTTACGGTCCGATCCGATTAGATAACGGTATATTGAATCAGATAGTTGTTGAAAGTAGTTTAGACACGCACACACACACACACACACACACACACACACACACACACACACACACACACACACACACACACACACACACACACACACACACACACACACACACACACACAAACTAACTAAACTGATTTATATACTGATATATACACTGATATTACAAACTGTAACTTTTAAAATCTTATATATATAAATATGGCTTTTATATTAATTTTATAGTTTAACTTTAGTTGTTTTTCACTTTTTTATAGCTTAATATTGATTTGTGTTAACATTAGTTTACAAAACACAATATAGTTTTTTAATTAAGATTAATAACATTTGTTTGTTATAATTATATATATATAGTCTATGAAATTGAGTCGTTCATCACTGGGAAAGACAACTGTCGGCCAAATAGTAAACATACTGTCCAATGATGTCAACCGTTTTGATGAGGTTTTTTTAAAATAAATTTTTAAGATATTAGTTGTTAACAAAAATCGGATACTTTTATTGTCATATAATACCTACATATATTATTGTTGTTAAAATTTACAAATATATATATATATATAGTTTTCCTATTACCCGCACGCAATTGTGGTAGCACCGTTACAGTCGGCACTGATACTCTATCTTCTATGGGGACAGTTAGGCTGGCCCTGTTTGGCCGGTATGGCAATGCTTATACTGTTTGTACCGTTCCTGTTGTTGGTCGGCTCATTGTTTCGACTGATTCGCCAAAAGACCTCAGTGTTGACCGATCGGCGCATACGTGTCATGAATGAGATGATTGCCGGTATGCGTGTCATCAAAATGTATACCTGGGAAAAGCCGTTTGCACTGTTGGTTTCCGATATACGCAAGTATGACATTCCTGTCCAAACATTTTCTCAATATATAGATAAGCGTTAAAAAATAAACGATTCAAATATAAGTTATAATATCTAACTAAACCTATTTTTTGTAGATCGGAAGTAAAACGGATCCGTAACAGCAATTTTCTCAAAGGTGTCAATCTATCCATTTGTTTTCTATTGCCCCGTATTGTTGTCTACCCGTGCCTATTGCTGTATGTGCTGATGATCAACAATGGCCGGTTGACTGCCGACGTTGTGTTTGTTACCGTAAGCTATGTTAATAGTATGCGGGTTATGATCGGTAAGGGTTTACCTCATCTATTCGCTGCAACCAATGAACTGGTAGTTGTTATCAGACGTATAGAGGTTAGGAATATACCGATAAATATAAATATATATATATATATTTATATATGGGTTGTAATATATTATCTAATATAGGAGTTCCTATCGCTCGATGATATTAAACATATTGATAACAACAATTCTGATGGAGTAACTGATGGTTTGAATAGTGGTTGTAATGTCGATGAAAAGGGTGTATTCATTGATAATATGACTGCCCGTTGGTCTTATGTATGCTATAAAAAAATACAATATATATATTTTTATCATTTTTATTATTTATTGATAGGACGTGACTGAGCCGACACTTAAAGATATCAGTATATGTGTAAAACCGGGACAATTGTTGGCCATCATCGGATCGGTAGGCAGTGGAAAGGTATTAATGAATTAAAAAATTATTTTTTAAATAATATACTAATAATAATATATATATATATTTAATAATAGAGTTCAGTATTGATGTCAGTGCTAAACGAGATGATACTGTCATCGGGTGATTCATTGCGAGTAACGGGTCGGCTATCCTATGCACCGCAAGAGTCGTGGGCTTTCATTGCCAGTGTCAGGGATAACATACTGTTTGGTCAGCCGTACGATGAGCACCGGTATCGGCGAGTGGTCGAAGTTTGTGCACTGGACAGGGATTTGAAACTGTTTCCTTATGGCGATCGGACACTGGTTGGTGAAAAGGGTGTACTGTTGAGTGGCGGCCAAAAAGCACGTATCAATTTGGCCAGAGCTTTGTATCGTGAGGCCGATATCTATTTGTTGGACGACCCGCTATCGGCAGTGGACGCACACGTGGCTAAACATATATTTCAAAAGTAAGCTAGGATATATATATATATATATTAAATTAGCTATTTTTATAACTTACAAAAAAATATTAGTTAATTATTTACAATATTTAAAATAGCTCTAATTTTATTTTTAAAATTAGTAAATAAATAATTTTATAATAAGTTATTTAAGACTTTATACTATAATATTTATCTATTGTAGTAAATAAAAAATAAAAAATAATTATTTACTACAATAGATATATATATATATATTAAATATAAAGGCTTAAATAACTGATTATAAAATTATTTATTTACTATTTTAAAAAATAAAATTAGAGTTATATTATTGTTACAAGCTAAATTATTGTAAGCTACAAATTTTTTTAACAAAAAATTTTAATATATTTATTGCAAATTATAGATAAATATTTATACATATATGATTTTAACTTTTTATTTATTTACTAGTTTATGTTTTAAAACTTATTTTCAAATAGATAACATTTATTTACAATTATTATTAAAGTTTATAATTGAAATAATTTTCCTATAAATAATACTGTATAATATTGTTAGCATAATACAGATTAAAATTTATATTTATCAGTTATTTATAAAAAAAAATATTATTATTATTGTTGTTATTTTAATTATAATATTACAGATGTATTGTTGATTATCTGAAAGACAAGGCACGCATACTAGTCACACATCAGATCCAGTATCTGAGAAAAGCCCATAAGATACTGGTGCTCGAAGAAGGCCGGTGTGTAGCACTGGGCAGCTATGACGAGCTCAGGGAGTCGGGCATCGATCTGATGTCCTATCAACAGACCACTACTCCTGACAACCACACAAATCTGGTCAGCACTGGACCACCACCACTACCGATGAACAGTTCAATGATGTTCACACCATTGCTGGTCAGCAGTACTATCAGTGACGGCGGTTCGGATATCAGATCACATGATGTCGTTGACGATGACATTGTTTCCATTAACGAGTCAACGACCGCTAGTTTGGATAACCCGCAGATCAAAGCCGAAAACAAAATAGTCGGTAGTCTTGATTCGACCATCTATTGGGACTATATTAAGGCCGGCGCCGGACCAATGTTGATGTCGACAACAGTTTTGATGGTATTGTTGTCACAAACGCTATATCAGGGAAGCGACTATTGGCTGTCCTATTGGTAGATATAAAACTAATAATAATAAACCTTTTTTTTGATAGTTTTGAAAATATTTTGTTTTTTGTTGTTTATCTACACAATTATAGGACAAATAACAATGAAACTAATGATAACAATCAAAATGAATATATTTATGTATATACCGGTATGATTGTAGGCCTGTGCGTAACATCACTGTTGGCCACTGTATCGTTTTATATGATGTGTATGCGGGCATCGATAATACTATATAAGCGTATATTTTCCACACTATTGAGAGCACCGATACATGTATTTGAAAGTTCACCGGCAGGTAAAACATTACACATAACTATCTTGAATTATTAGACCATTTACTTTACAAAATTAATACTTTAGGCCGTATATTGAATCGGTTCGCCAAAGATACCGGTATTATTGATGAACAGTTACCAACGGCAGCATTTGATTTTATAATAGTAAATGTTTTTTATTTAACAATTTGTAATATTAATACATTATTAATAATAATAATTATTATTTTAATTAACTAAACCAGAATCTAAGTCTAATGATCGGCAATCTAGTGCTCAATGCAACCGTCAACTGGCTTCTGGTGTTTCCGGCAATCATATTACTGGTTTTGGTATACATGTGTCGGTATTTCTATATTAGGGCCGCCCGTGATATCAAACGCATGGAAGGCTTATGTATGTCATTGATAAATAAAATAATTATTTTTTAAATACACATAATCATTATTTATTATATGCTTATACAAAATAAAAATAGCCCGGAGCCCAATCTATTCGCACGTTAGCAACACATTGGCCGGTCTGACGTCAATCCGATCGCTGGACGGCCAGCGCATGTTTGAGCGTCAGTACGAATGTCACCAAAACGACAACACCGCCACATATTTTATGTTTCTCTGTACGTCCCGAGCACTGGGCGTACTTCTGGAAGGCGTTTTTCTCATCTATATCGCTGCAATCGTAGCTTTTGTAATGTCAGCTACCGATGAAAGTGACACTATGTCCGGCGGTAACGCTGGCCTACTATTGTCGTCCTCACTGATGCTAACGGGAACAGCACAGCACGCGGTCCGGTGTTCGACAGATCTCGAGTCCTATATGACTGCTGTCGAGCGGGTACTCGAGTATACCCATATCGATCCGGAAGCCGATCTGGAATCGCCAGCCGATAGAAAACCTGCAATCGATTGGCCACAATCGGGTAGTATTGAGTTTGTCGACATGAGTCTACAGTACGTCGAATCTACTGAACCTGTACTTAAAGGTCTAACTCTATCGTTCAGCGGCGGCGAAAAGATTGGTGTTGTCGGCCGTACCGGTGCTGGCAAATCGTCAATAATTGCTGCAATGTTTCGCTTGACCGAACCCAACGGCCAGATACTCATCGACGGCATCGATATCTGCCGTATTGGTCTGCATGAACTGAGACGTCAGATATCGATCATACCTCAAGATCCGGTACTGTTTACCGGTTCGGTGCGGAAAAACTTGGATCCGTTTGACGAACATCCGAACGACGAGCTGTGGGCTGTCTTAGATGAGGTACAGCTCCGGGATGTTATCAGTAAATTGCCCGGTACGCTTGATGGCCACATTACCGAAGGCGGTTCAAATTTCAGTGTTGGCCAACGTCAACTGGTATGTCTGGCCAGAGCAATACTTCGGGACAATAAGATACTGGTGTTGGACGAGGCGACTGCCAATGTTGACCATCAAACTGATGCACTAATACAGCGGACAATACGCCATCGGTTTCGCAACTGTACTGTCCTGACGATTGCCCATCGATTGAACACAATTATCGATTCGGATAAAGTGCTGGTCAGTTACCATTCAACAGGACCGGGCGTTTTGTAGATAAGATCTTTATTTATTTTTTGTTGTTATTGAAACCCCGATAGGTATTAGACGCCGGCCAAGTGGTTGAATACGGAGCGCCGCACAAACTGCTGGAAGAATCGCCCGACGGTCTGTTTGCTCAGTTGGTCAGTCAAACGGGCAAACATATGGCCAGTCGTTTGCGTCAAACGGCTAAACATTACTATTCACACAAATTTGACGTACAGTTTGATAAAATTGAATCCGAGAATAATATAAGTATTTAATAATAATATATTAGTTTGTAAATCATTTTAATATAATAAATTTTTAGCTAAATCTATTAGTAGTAGTAGTAGTAGTAAAAATGCCAGCGAAATCTTTCTTAAAAAAACAATTAAAATTTAAGAAATAAATGTCTTTTATTTTATGTTACTTTAAAAAAAAATCATTTCAAATATTTTATAATAATTTTGTTTATTTAATAAATATTGTTATAATTGTATATCAAATGAATATTTTCTTAGAAAATGTATTATAAAATATAAATAATTAAATGTTTTTTTTGGTGTAAAACACATAATTAAAATAAAATTTAGTTATTAATTTAGATATTTAAACAATTCATTTATATATACAATATATATAGATCTGGTTATAAATAAAACTACATAATAATAATTATTATTTATCCTTTATAAATCTTGTAGCTTCAGGTTTAGCTTCAGTTGTGCTTGATATTATAAATAACTTAATTTAAAAAATTTAAAAATTAAAATTAAAATTAAACCAGTTGAGAATGCTTTAAAAGCATTTCCACACGAATTCCTTAACTTAAAAATGAAAAAATTTAAAAAAAAATAAAAAAACAGTTGAGAATGCTTCAAAAGCATTCCCATACGATCTCCTTAACTTAAAAAAGAAAAAAAACCAAAAAAAATCAAAAAAAAATCAAAAAAAAAATTTTGTAGCGGAGCCTGGATTCGAACCACTAACCTATGTGGGACAGACAGACGGACAGACAGACAGACAGACAGACAGACAGACAGACAGACAGACAGACAGACAGACTTTTTGAATGCATATACGTATTCCTTTCAGGAATTCGTAAAAATAATCATTTTAACAAATAAATTTATTCAATATTGCATCTAATTAATTATAATGTATGTTTGAGTAAACAAGTAATTTTTTTCATGATATATTTAATATAATAATAATATATTTATAATATTTAATGATAATTTTTATAATATAATTATTATTTATAAATATTAAGTATTATGTGTAATGAATAACATAAAATATATTTAATAATTTTTAATATAACTATAATAATAAAGAAATAATTATTTATTTAATTATGATATTAAACTTTATAAAATTTCAATAATAATATACTAATATACTTAGTGTCTGTAAATAAATTTTATTTTTATAAATATTTTTATTACATTACTAGACAATTATTTTCAACATAATAACCAAAAATATTATGTTTATATTGAATTAATTATCGAATAATTTAAATAAAAATATTAATGAATGCTATTATTTTAAGTTATTAAATGCTTTAATATATATATCTATAAATAAATAACAATTTTAAAATAATATATATTAATACAAGAAATATATTCAAAAAAAACTTGAAAAGTTTTGTTTACTGAAATCTATAATGGCTTTTTGAGTCTGTCTGTGTGTAGCATTTCATTTTGCGAATTTTGAAATTCTGACTTCAGATTCGGTTAGAGGACTACTAATAATGTATTGAAAAGTTGCATTAAAATTTTGATATCTCTTCGGGAACATAGACAAAATGGCGGCCAAAGTAAAAAAAAATTAAGAAAAATTTTTTTAAGTATAGATTTGAATAAAGCATCAAAAACAAGGATACATTAAAATTATGATATCTACGGGAATAAAAAAAGGAAAATCTTTATTCATATTTCAAGAATATGTTACATATAATAAAGGGAACAAAAAGAATAAGTATAAGCGGCAAAAGTATAATTATAGATGATTATTTTGTTATACTAAATCATTTGATACCACACATGAGTAGTTGTTTATTTTGTCATATTGAGTTAATTGATACTCTACATGACTAAAGTTGTATTTATTTTGTCATACTGAATCATTTGATACCATACATGACAATATTTATATTATGTATATTTGGCCAGTTTTTAAATTTATATGTTATTATATAGCCGCTATAATTATACAAACTAATGGTTTCCAATGCTATTCAAGTTTTTTTTCTGAAAATGCTTTCTAGCATTCTTAACTGGTTTTTAAATATAATTGTTTATAATAAGTAACTTAATATACAGTAAAGTGATGTAAAGTTGATGATATATATACAGTATATATATATATTATAATATTAATAACTTATAATGTTTGATAAGATTTTTATATTAATTGAATTTTCTTAACAAACTTCAAAAACATTAACGAAAAAATTGCCAAAATCTATATAAACAACAAATAAAATTCAATTTATTTATTAATATTATCATATTAAATAAATTATATCAAAATAAATATAAATAAATATTATCCATACTTTATATGATCTGAAGTAATCAATTGTAAACCATTTCCAACACGAAAAACCAACCCTTTTCTGTGCCGTCCTCTCCAGTAATACCAATAACTATATAATTATTAATACCATATATATTATATAACAATTATTTATTTTTAGAAACTATTTAATACAAACTTTTAGTTTATGATTAGTTGAAATTTGTTTATTGTTATGAACAAAAAATTTAATCAATAATTTATATGATTTATTATTAGCCATAGCCGTCAACGATGAGGCCGTAAATATAATAAACATAAATATTATGGTAAACATTATAAATCCATAAATAATTAGAATTTTTACAATTATATTGATTGGCATAAAAATTATAGTACATAAACATATTATGATAGATAAACCTAAAATACAGCAAAAATATAGCAATAATTTTGACCAAAATGTTTGGTTATAATCATTGATCTCAACAAACAAGTGATTAAATGATTTAATTGTAGACAATATGTCCATAGATTTACGATATCGTCGTCGACTAATAATTAACTTTTTTGTTAATTTATTTAATTTAAATTTCAAATATTTACACATAATATAGAAATATAACAATTGAAATGTAATACTATTCCACCAGTAATTGGACCAAACAGTAGTAATTAGTGTACAATAAATACCATAAACTAAAGTATTATAAACAGATTGTGTAAATAAATACATTAGTATTACAAATAGATTAGCAAATATTGGTATAATTAGTTCATTGTTTAGTCTACAAAACCAACACAAATATCTCATTTGTTTCAGTAGTTTCAAAATAGCCAACCGATCGGTAAATCCAATACTAGCGGGTGTTACCAAACCGGACATCATTTTGAATATATTCAAAAATCTAGGTTTTATATTATTCATATAATTCACTATAAAAGTCAATTGTGATGCAACTGGTAATAGTAGTAATAGTATTGGAAATATATTGCTAATATTTTTAGCATCAATCAAATAACTCCAATTACCAAATAGGACATAAAATTGCCAATTAGTTTTATTAATAAATAAACATATTATCCTATGTAATAAACATATATTAAGTATAATGAATTGAATCATTGGATTATTAAACCATTGTCTCGTAATTTGATTATTATTATTAGTAGTATTAATATTTTCATCAACTAATTCATTACATAATCCAATGCGATATAAATGAAATGCCGCTGATTTGTAGGCAATATTTGGTGGCAAACATTTTTTGACATCAAATTTATGCATTTTATATTTTAATTTTCAGCATAATATTTTTAAAAAGCTATTTTATTAGACAAAACGTTTAGTAAAGTTTATATTGAATATGTATTTTATGAAATAAATTTATTCAATATGGCATCTAATTAATTATACTGAATGTTTGAGTAAACATATAATTTATTTTCATAATGTATTTAATATAACTATATTTTGTAATAATATTTAATGATAATTTTTATAATATAATTATTAATTATAAATATTAATTATTACTTATAATGAATAACATAAAATATATTTAAATAAAACAATTTTTTATATAATTATAATAATGAAGAAATAATTATTTATTTAACTATAATATAAAATTTCAATAATAACACTAATATAATTAGTGTCTGTAAATAAATTTTATTTTTATAAATAATATTTTTATTACATTACTAGACAATTATTTTCAACATAATAACCGACAATATTATGTTTATATTCAATTAATTAACGAATAAATTAAATTAAAATATTAATGAATGTTATTATCTTAAATTATTAAATAATTTAATATATAATTAAATAGTATAATAATAATATAATATATATTGATATTAATACAAAAAATATAGTTTAATACCGGCTTAAAAATCATAATAATAATAAAATAAAATTTTGGTTATAATAAGAAACTTAATATAAAGTTCATGATACTGTATATACAGTATTATATTATAATATTAATTATTAATATAATTATATTTTATATAATGTTTTATTAAAATCAATAAATATTTATAAAAAAATTGAACTAGCTAATTGTATTATTACTCTAGTGTTAATAAAATTAATCTACTATAATATTAATAAGTTATAATGTTTGCTAAGATTTTTATATTAATTGAATTTTCTTAACAAACTTCAAAAACATTAACGAGAAAATTGCCAAAATCTATATAAACAACAAACAAAATTCAATTTATTTATTAAATTAATATTATCAAATAAATACAAATATGTATTATACAGTTATATAAATAAATATTATCCATACTTTATATGATCTGAAGTAATCAATTATAAACCATTTCCAACACGAAAAACCAACCCTTTTCTGTGCCGTCCTCTCAATCAATACAAATAACTACAGTATATTGAGAAATAAATAATTTTAAAAAAAAATATAACATTAGTAAAAAAAGTATTAAATTAATTACAAACTTTTATTTTATGATTAGTTGAAAGTCGTTTAGAATTATAAACTAAATATTTATTCAAATATTTATATGATTTATTAGCCATAGACGCAAACGATGAGGCCGTAAATATAATAAACATAAATATTATGGTAAACATTATAAATCCATAAATAAGTATAATTTTTACAATTATATTGATTGGCATAAAAATTATAGTATATAAACATATTATATTAGATAAACCCAAAATACAACAAAAATATAGTAATAATTTTGACCAAAATGTTTGGTTATAATCGTT